AATCATTGATTGGTTCCTTTCTGCATGCCTCCTACTGGGGATTGAGCCCACAACCAGGCATGTGCTCTGACCGAGAATCGAACTGTGACCTCCTGGTTCATGGGTCGATGCTCAACCACTGAGCCACACTGGCTGGGCAATGGGCCCAAATTCTTAACTCCCTTGTCATAGACATACATACCCTTTCCATGCCTCGAGATGGGTATGATAGACCTGCCCAACTTTTGACTTGGGGCTTGACTTGCCTTGGTCAATGAGATGTCACTGAATCTGACCAGAGAAGCAGCTGGAAATGGGGCTTCGAATGGGACCCCCACAATGCCTTTAGGACTCTAGTGATCTTTAGTCATGACCCAGTAGCCACACTCTTCATGGGCCCCCAGAACAAATATTGTCAGACCTACAAGCTTAAAACTGAGCTGCCCACCTATATTAGTTTTCTGTTGCTGCATAACCAATTGCCACTAACTTAGCAGCTTAGATCAACCCATTCATCATCTCACCGTTTCTGTAGGTCAGAAGTCTAGCCTTAGCACATCAGGGTCCTCTGCTCAGGTGTCATCAGACTGAAACCAAGGTCTTGACTGAGATCTCATCTGAAAGCTTGACTGGGGAAGAGTCTGTTTTCAAGCCCATTCAGAGTGTTGGCAGAAATCAGGTTTTTGTGTAGTACTAAGTCCCTGCTTTCTTGCTGGCTGTTGGGCAAGGGTCACTCTTCACTTCCTAGAGGGTGTCCTCACACCCTCTTACAACATAGCAAGCCGCTTACATTTTTATAGGCGGCAGGAGACTCTCACTCCAGGCTGCTGTGATGGTGTCTCATGGAACGTGAAGCAATCACGACCAGGACTATCCCATCACCTTTGCTAGATAGTGTAACCATGTCCAGGTAGTGACCATTCCACCATATTCACAGATCCTGCCCCCACTCAAGGGCAGTGGACTAGATCAGGAGTGTGCAGCAGGGGACGGAAATCTTGGTGGACATCATAGAGTTCTGCCAACTACACCACCCAAAAGTAGATTAGCCTAAACCATGGTCAACCTACAAACTTGGGAAGGTGAGAATGAATGCTTATTATAGGCCACTGAGGTTCGAGGTTATGATTCTTACGCAGCGTTGCTCTGGTATTGGCTGTCTGATACACTGTAAGAAGCAGTCTTCCTCATTCACAGTGTCCTAGCTCCCTGGTGGGGAGGAAGCTTGCTATGAAGGACAGGGCACTGGGACCAGTCAGGTCTGGGTTTGACTCTTCTCCTCCTAGTGGGGGGCCCTTGAGCCAGTTACTTCGCTTCTCTGGGTCCACGTCCTCCTCTGTGTAGTTGGAACCACAATGCCTATCTCACTTGGCTGTTGGAAGGATTAACTAAAATAATGGATGAGGACCACGTGGTATACAGTAAGCACCATAAATGTCAGTGTCTTTTCTCTATGAAGTTCATATTTCTAGTCAACATGCCCATGTCTTCAGAGAATGAATGTGGTATGAATTCTGGGAGTGGCCACTGCTGATTCCCGTAGGTTGCCTGGCTGGTCACCCATTACCAGATGAGAGGGTGACCTGCAGGGCTCTCTGACCCTGGGTGGGCTCTCGGCTTGAGTCACATGGTGGAAGGCAGCCCTGCCTGGTTTCTATGGGGTAGAGGCCCTGGGCAGCCACTCGCAGACAAGGCCCCTGCTCCCACTCTCCAGAACTTTAATTTTAAAATGTGACAATGGTCGCCCTGTTTTGGAGAGCGCAGTCTCTCCCACTAACCAGCTGTGTGAGCTAGGGGAGGTAACTTCAACCTTCTGACCCTTGCTTCCTTCCCTGTGCGTTACAGGTAAGATTCCCACCCCATAGCGTCATTATGCTGATGATCTGACAAAAGGCATATCCCTGGGCCCATTACTGGAGTCCGAGGTGGTGTACTCCTTCCTCAGAGCGGAGACTGTCTACACCTGTTCTTTTGGTGCTACTCCCTGCCCCGCTCTGCCTCCCAGGCCCTTCACAGAGAGGAGCGCAGGGCAGGTGCTAAGGGTATTTTTGGTGCTGAATTCACGCCTTTTGTCTCATTTGATTCTCATGAGAACGTCTGTGTAGGTGGGCGTGGAGGCCCTGAAGGCTGTTCCCCCCAGACCCACCTCCCGCCCCCCAGGCACGGGATGGATGACACTTCCCTTCTCTTTTCAAGTTCAATGTGATCACATGACTTGCTTTGGCTAAGGAAGGGTGAGCAGAGGTGTCCCAGGTCACTTGGGAAAGAAGCTTCAGGGGTCAGTGCCGATTCACCACCCCCCTCTTTCCTTCTGATACCAGCGACCGGCAATGCTTGTGATGATGCCTGTGCTCTGTCAACTGACAATAATGAGTAGAGGACATGAACGTGAACAAGGAAAGATCAGCCTTTGGTGCTTTAAGCCACGGAGCTTTGGGGGAGTTGCTCACTGCACTCTAGCCTGATATAGTGGACAGACTGTATTTCCATTTGAAGGAAGAGGGGAGTGGCTTGCCTAAGGTCACACAGAGGGTACCTGGGATCATGGGTGGGGCTTTGCCTGAGGGGGCATGTCTGATTCTGTCCAGGGAGAGAGCAGAGGTGATGAGAGCCCTGAACACCCTCTCCCTGGTGCCTTGGGGAAATGAGTCCCTGCAACAGCTGTTTACATCACCAGGAGCAGGAAAACGATTCTCTGTTCAGAATAAGTGAATGGAAGCTTAGGGAGTGGAGGGCATGATTCTGGAAGCTGTATTCTCAAAAGGACCAGATATTCTTTTTTTTTTTTTAAATATATTTTATTGATTTTTTACAGAGAGGAAGGGAGAGAGATAGAGAGTTAGAAACATCGATGAGAGAGAAACATCGATCAGCTGCCTCCTGCACATCTCCTACTGGGGATGTGCCCACAACCCAGGTACATGCCCTTGACCGGAATCGAACCTGGGACCTTTCAGTCCGCAGGCCGACGCTCTATCCACTGAGCCAAACTGGTTTTGGCAGGACCAGATATTCTAGACTCAACTCGGCAACAGAAGCCTCCGTCTCTCTGTCTGTGTGTCCCTCCTCATCTCCGTGGCTCCACTTGCCTCCTCCTTCAGGAGCCTCTACCCTCCACTAGTAAATCTTGTTCAGGGAAAGGCTGTGAAACTCATCCACCATGAGGTGTGCCCCGGCAATGAGACCAGGAACAGACCGCTATGTTACGCAGCATTGTTATGACAATAGCTAACTGATACACTTGTCTATCCAATATCTGTTCTTTTCTATTCCTTTAGAGGTAAACTGATTTTATTCTGGGCAGTAGTGTGCCTGGGCAGAAGACTGTATTTCTCAGCTTTTCATGGGGTGTAAGCAAAGGTTTTTGAGTGGGACTCCCAGGAAAGCTCTCTAAGAGGGGGGTCAGAGAGCTCGCTGGGGGCCGCCAAAGGTCAGGGAGCTCCTTGGTATCATACACTCAGCACCCAATATGTTGAATTGCCTTCCCAGCAGTGGTGTTGGACCCCTCTGCATCATCCAGGCACTCTCTGCACTGCTTCAAGACCAGCCTTTGGCTCAGTTTATTGTCATGGTAACCTAGAAGATGCTTAGAGATCATCTAGCCTGCTTTTAAAAAGATACACAGAATTAGGGTCTGAGACGGGGAGAAGATTGTCTCGGGACCCATAGCAAGTCATATGCAGAGCTAAGAGTAGAACTTGATTAGTTCTTCACTCTCCCTCATACCTTCCTTCCTTATTGAGTGATGGTTGCCTGGTTGGGGTGGTGGGAGGGGTAACAGACTTGGGGTGGAATGTGGCTGGGAGCCCTGGTTATGACAGCAGCTGCCTGGAATTCATAGGGGCTGGAACAGAGCTCATCACACTGCAGGGACTCTATCTGGAGGCGGGTGCTGGGGCAGTCCTCCCCTTGGTCGCAGACCCTGGGTGCTGCCCTGGAGAACTGGGCTGGGTTGAATGGACCAGGTCCACAGGAACAGCTTATGAACCCTTCTTGTACCATTTTTCCCAACTACTGCCCCCCCACACCCCTTCCTGTTCAGGTCATCGAGGTAATCCAGCATCCTGGAATGACATGAGGACCCTGGAATGACATGGGGACCCTGGAATGACATGGGGACCCTGAAAGGACCTGGGGACCCTGGTTTAGAGCCAGGGGAGCATACGTGAGTAGACGCTGCTGATCCTGGGCTAGATGCTCTTTGCTGGGCCAGCACACCGGTTCTTTAACTGGTATGAATGTTGTTGCTAAGGGCTCATTGCCACACCTTTCTCTGGAGAACTGGCCTCAGCCCATAGGAGCCACTGTAACCAGAGATGCTGAGGCACCTAGTAAGTCCTTTAGCCACCCACCCACATCCCCAGGGACAGCCAACAGCCAATGAATGTCAGATACTGGGGAACAAAGGGCCAGTCTCTGGTCTCATGGTCAGACTAACTCTGTGCTATGATTCACGCCCAGAGCTCCCTGCAGTATTAGGATGAAGCAAGACTCCAGTTAAACCTCCCTCTTTGCTCATCCCCTCCCCGGCCCTCTCTTGCTTCCTTCTCTCCCTTATGGGTTTCTCTTGAGGGCTCTCCCTCAATAAGTCACCTGCCCAGGAACCCTCCCATCAGCCTCCATTTCTGCGGCAAGATGGAAGCTTCTGAGCTCTCACCCCCACATTTGTGTCCTAGGAGACGGCCAAGAGGGTTCTAAGCTGAGAAGCTTCAGAAGTTGGTCGTGGTGAAGAGAACGGAGGCTTTCCCAGAGAGGTGCTTAGCAACAGGATCCATCGATCAAATATTGACGAGGTATCCACTGTGTATCCAGCAGCTGCTTGCCATTGGGGGGCCCGGTGGGGTGTGAAAGCAACGTAGCTCCTAGCCTGACCCTCTAAATTAGGTCAAAGCACTTGGGTCTCTGTTAGGGCAGTCGCATAACGGCGACCAAGTGAGCACAAGGAACCTTGCAAATGCTTTTAATTTCTTTTAATGTAGAACAGTTACGCCTGAGTTACAGAGGAAGCGCTTACAAGCAGGTAGTTAAAGCGAATGCCGGTTTCTCTTTCTAGTCTACTACTCCATATAGCTGAATAAATTATGGTGCGATTATACTTAAACACACACCCTCGCGTCCACACGCACACCCCACGCACACGCCCATGCACACACGCTCACTTCCACGTGGAGGAAAATGGCTGCGAGTCAAACATGGATGCAACCAAGTTGCAGTTACTAGGAAGGAGGAACGATCTAGAGTGCCGCGTAGATTGTTCCCAAGCAGGGGACCGGCCACCTTACAGTTGGCAGAGAATGCATTCGATGCGCCGTGTCTCTGAGCATTTCACGATGGCGGCTGGAGACCCCCCATTTGGTCTGGGTTTGGTGCCTCTGCAGGAGGGGAGGAGAGAAGACCCGTCGACCTCAAAAAGCGTCCAAGAGTGAAGGGTGCATTTGGGAGCTTGGGGGGAACCTCCATCTGAGAGAGGCCCCAGAGGAAGTCCTTTTGGGGCAATCATGGAGTTTTGCCAAGTTCCACAATGCAAAGCACAGGATGCTTCACCAGCTCCATGGACATGCTGGACTTGAGAGGCCAAAGTCTGGGACCTTCCTGTCCTCAAGCCACCGCCAGACTGGACATCCGCTCTCGGTTTTCTTCTGGGCCAACCTGTCTTCATCCTTCCCTTCTCTCTCACCCCCCCCTCACTTCTCCTCCATGTTCCTCTGGCAAAAGAACGGCAAAGGTAAACCAAGTAAAATATACGAGTATAAAAGCGTAGCTTGGTTCTTATACATTGGCTTTTTTTTTCTTCATAGCAAGAGAGAAATACCGAACGGCAAAAACAAAGCAATAAAAATGGAAGAACCCAAGAGAGCCTGGAATGTATACTTTGAAACACACGCTATGCAGATATATCCCTACAGATGGTCCCTGGTACTAGCACGACACACACTGTGGGTTTCTTTCCTGTTGGATATATATTTATAGATAGAAAAGTCAACTTCCTATAGACGAACAGCACATCACCACGTTTCCAGCTAATGTACAATGAGCTCCGGGGAGGGGCCGCCCATAGGTTGGGCCTCCAGTGACGTGTGAGAAGCTGGAGGACACATCTCTTATTTTGCTACAGACTATTCGCAGGGATGGATGGGGGTCGCTTCTGGGCTGGCCTAGCCGCTGGGGTTCAGGCTGTGGTCAACCCTCAAGAGTTTGAGGCCTTGTCCCTCTCATCCCACACCACCTCTCTGGTGAGGTTGTGAGCTGCCAACCCCAAGACTGAATTTTCTACACCGAGTTGGTTAAGCAAAGCCATGAGTGAGCTTTTAGGGAAGAGCTGTCTGGGCCAAGGTCTCTTTCTGAGGGGAGTGGGCACCTGGGGGAATAAGTCCCATTTTCTACACCAAGATGGTGGCTTGGGAGAACTCCAGAGAAGCCGAACGTAATGAGGAATCATTTGGTTTGTTCCCGTTTCATCACAGGGGGCAGAGATTTGGATTGGTCCCAGCTTTGGAATGTCATCTGCCTGGCATCCCTGCGCCTGGGCAACGTAGGGCATAAAAAGGCTCAGGTGATTCCTGAGCCAGGTCTCCAGGAGGAAGGAGGGACCAGTCAAGGAATGTGGGTGAAGATTGTGGTCGAAGGAAGAGCTGCTTCCTGGCTGGGAGAGCTACAGACGCATGGACTGGGTCACCAAGGGTACAACAGTCCTCCTTTTGCCCAGAGCTTAACGAGCCAAACGTCTGCTACAGCGGACGCTCCAGTTGAAACCTGGGCTGAACTGGATGGGCCACACACATCTGGGTGTCTGCTGCTACTGAAGAATCTGTGTGTCCCCAACTTCTAGCAAGTTCCTCCAAACCCGAGATACGAGCCCCCTGGCCTGGTCCAGGACAGGCGTCACATGACTGCGTCTGAAGCTCAGAAACACGTGAGCATCTTTCACGGAGGTGACGTCCATGTGGGAGAGTGCCCCAGCTCCCCCGAGGGAGGAACTCAGCTCAACTCCCCACGCAGCAGCAGCCCGTCCCTTTCGGAATGTCATGTTGGCTGAGGGCAAGACATGGGGTGAGCCAAGAGGTGGCCTCGTGTGCCCCAAGGGGGACAAGCAATTTGGTCCAGTCTTTGTGGAGTCAGTGCTGTGCCTCCCGTCACAGAGCCTCATACCCAGCAGCACCTGAGAAAGGTGATCCGAGCGTAGATTACGATGGTGCTGATGGCGAAGATGAATAGAATTTTGATAAACAGGTGAAGGCGGTGAAAGTTCCAAGGGAGGTGTAGCCTGGGGCTTAAGCCATTCCCCCAGGGTCTCAACTCTAAAGAGCAAGAGCTGGAGGGAGCCACTGGCGTGGCCGAGGAAGGTGGCCCCCACTGCCTGGGGGTAGCGGTTTGAAGACTGGCCACATCTGTCCCTGCACAGCTGTGCTGCATCAGAAGACAGAGGCCTCTTGGCCGAGAGTGACTCAACACGGAAAGATGCCACTCTGGGTGGGGCAGGGTCATGTCCGCTCGCCCCCCAAATGCCAAGGGGAGTCGGTGGCCTTGTCTGTGGGACAAGCAGTCCCTGTGGGCCCAAGGACCCAGCTCCAGAGCTGCAAGGGAGCCCCCTGCACCCAGCAGCCTAAAGGGACTCGCTGGGGGTAGAGGCCCCTCCTAGGAGATGAGCACGCAGGACGGGCTTGGGTCTCTGCGGAGGCTTCGTGCGGGATCAAAGCTACATAGCGCCGAGGTTTGCTGCCCAGAAGCAGAGGCACCCCAGTTACCAACACCCTTCTGAGCCTGCCCTACGCCTCCTGCTCATGGGTCCTCAAGACTTCATTCCCTCCTCCTCCTCCCCCGCACCGATCCAGTGAATGGGAAAACTGAGGTTATGTGGGCTCCCCAGGCCCCACGTGGGGTGGGCACAGTGGGAACTTGGGCTTCGGTAGAAGAGCCGGCTGCTTCTGGCTGCCTCACTGGTTCCTTGTATCTTGGGCTGGTCGCTGCTGACCCATCCTCACATGGTCACACCCCTGGTTAAGTCTCTTCCTGGTTTTCCCAGTCTCCCTGCTTGGGCTAGGTTCCCCCTGACAGCCAAGCGAGGTGTGCGGGGAGGGACCCGAAGTCCTCAGACTTCCTGGGCAATTCCCCTGGGAAAACCCAGGGCTGGGTTCCCTCTCTGCTGGAGTCGCATCACCCAGAGGAGGGATGGGCTGGGGTTCGGACCCTGGGCCAGAGACCCACCTGGAGGGACTGGCTCCCAGCACTTCCGGCGGAGAGCGGCCTGTGAGCTCCTCCACCTCCGGCCAGGGTGCCCACAGGCCCTCATCCCAGACCCCACCCTCCTCCGGGGGCTCATGGTGCCCTCTGCGGGGTGAGCCTCCATCTCTGTGCCTCAGATGGCACAGGGGCCGCACAGTGACAGGGTTTGACTGGGACAAGGCTGTGGGCTGACCAGGAACCCCCCTGGGGACAAAGTAAAGGGGCAGATGCCAAGGTGGGGTCACGCTGGGCCCCCAGCACAGGTGCACACGAGGCTGGCGGCACGCCTCCGGAGGACTGGCTATCACAAGGGAATGGGCTCCTTTCCCGGCCTCCTGGGACCCCAGGGTGATGGGGGGACTGAGGCTGGGAGGTTCAGGGACCAGTAAGGGTGAAGCTGGGCCTTGGGCTGGGGCAAGTCGCCCCAGGGGCCCTAGTAGGCCTGGCCGGTCTCCACGGGCAGGAGTCCCAGCACGGCGGAGTGCTCCCCGAGCTTCATGCGGCGCTGTGTGGAGAGGCTCACGTTTTTGGCCAGGTAATCAACAGCAGCTGGAAAAAAGGAAAAGAAACTCCTAGAAATTATAGTTATTTTTCCCTATCCTTTCATCTGTCCCATATCGATCCATCAAGCCATCCACCCACATATATATCCACCCATTCATTTATCCATACATCAGTTTGTCCATCCATCCAGCCAACCAGCCAGCCATTATCCACCCATCCATCTCTGCATAAAGCTCTTTCTCTCACCTCCGCTCCAATCATTCAGCAAATATTAACACTAAATAAAAAACTCAGCTCTCGCGTGGGTTCTGTAGGGAGATCCAGAGGATAGCCACATTGTTGAGTGAAGAACCAGTCCCTCTTTCTGTACAGATCCCTTCTAGGGGGGGGGGGGGTGCCCAGTGAGTCCCACGGAGCCCAGGTAGTAAGGAGGGCAAGGTCCTTCTGCCTCCTTTGGCCCTGAGCCCAGCTCATGGATGAGGCAAAGCAAGGCCACTTACTCAAAACTCAAAGCAGTTTTTGCGGGTGAGCTGAGGGGTCCAGGCAGGGGAGGAGGCAGGGCTCTGACATGCAGGAAGCCGAGACCTTTAGTCTTGTCAATTCTGGTCACCCAGGGGAGAGGGGGGGAGAGTTTGAGGATGTGTACGTCTGTGTGTGTGTGTGCGTGTGTGTGTGTACAGTGGAAATAAGAAACTTGGAGAAGTAGCAATGGGCATGAACATGAATGCTCACACAAGTAGTACTTGCATATGCGCACACACATGCACACAGGTGTGGGTGAGTTGTGTGCACCTGCATGAGTAGAACAACAGTGGGGATGCTTATGCATGTGCAGGTAACTGTACAGGTGAGCTCCACCTAGGCCAGGTACATGTGTCGGAGTATGTGTGTGTGCACAGGTCTGACCACTAGGCCTGCATGCGCACATGTAGTCTTGACTGTATTAACTGTACCTGCCTGAGGCTATGGCAGAAATCAGCCCTGACCAAATGATTGACTGGCATGTGAGCACGGCCTCCTGATCTGCCGCTTCCTGAGCCGGCATCCGCGGCTGTGGCCCATCCAGCCCCTGGGATCTCTCAAATCCAGAGGCCGAAGGAAGATGGAAAGTTTGCTGCACTAGGAAGCACGAGGCTCCGCCCACCACCCGCTTCGTCACCTGCCTGAAGAGGGACCCTGAAACTCCATATGCCTCCCCAAAGTTGGGGGCTCCTGCCTGGGGTAGGTGGGCGGAGCTGGGAGGTGATGGGGCCTTTGAGCTAGAGGAGGCCATATGGCCTAGGGGGTCAAATGGCCTAGGTCCCAATCCTGGGCCTGCCAATTTTGAGGGTGTCATTGTGGGCGCCCCACTTCACCTATGCAAGCCTGTTTCCTGGTCTGTAAATAGGGATAGTAACACAGCCACGCTGAAGAGGTGTGAGAACTGAGGAGGAACGTGCCTGTAAAGGGGGTTAGCACTGTGCCTGGCACACAGCAAGCTCAGCAGACATGGGCCTGCAGACTGGAATTTAGTGATCAGATGTGACCTTTGATGGAGCAATAGGGAAAGTGGGCAATTTGGTGCCCGACTACCTCCTGTTCACGTGGCTTTGGGCAGATCACTGAGCTGGTGCAGGCCTGTTTCCTCATCTATAACATGGAAAGAACAACTCTGCCTTCTTCAGGGCTGTTATGAGAATCTTGTGAGATAAGGTGCTTTAAGAGGTTGGGCAGAGAGGGCGCTAACGAATGTGCTAATGCCCTGGGCCCTCTGAGCGGCTGGACCCTGTGCCCCTCGGCTTCCCAGCTCCAGGGCTGGCACTGAGCTGCTGGGTCGCCCCCGAGGTCACTCAGCCTTTACGCTCCCAGCTGGTCAGCAGAGGTGCCAGTGGCCACCTGTCCTGCTGGGTCTGCCCCTTGCTCTGAGTGGGCCTGGCACAGTCTCCCATCTCTGGCCCCTATAACTCTGGCCACACCATCTCTGCTGCTCAGAGCCTCCTCTTATCTAACTCAGGTCTAACTCAGAGTCAGGATGGGAGCAGCAGGAGGAGGAGCTAACGTTTACCAGAGCTTGCTCCTGCTCTAAGCAGTTTATGGAGCCTTATCATCCCCATGTTACAGATGGAACTGAGGCCCTTCCCTGAAAGATCACATAGCTCCTAGGTTGTGGAGTCAGGATTCAAACCCAGGCTGTCTGCTGCAAGCTCCTATCTACCACCCCCGCCCCTTCCCCAACATCACCCCGCGCCTCCCATAGAACAGCCTCCATGTTCCACATCACACCGACCTCTGATGCCAGCCTCCCTGGCTCCTCCTGAGGACGGGGCGGGAAGGTCTGGCTTCGACAACAGTGATGAGAGCAGCAGAGCGAGAGCCCTCACAGGTGAGCACCTACTGTGTGCTAGGCGGACATGATCTCACTGAGTTCTTTCAACAGCCCCATGCTGCCCCATTTTACAAAGGTAGAAACTGAGGCACAGAAAGATTGCTGGCCCAGAACCACCCATAGCACGCGAGATGGCAGAGCCTGAATCTGTCCTGTTTGCACCTCTGGTCTCTGTTACTTCCTCTTTAGCTTCTCCCAGTTACCAGCCATGGCCCAGCACATAGCAGGAGCTTCCCTAGGCCCCGTCAAGGTGAGCGAGGAAACATGGAGAAGCCAAACTTTACTGATGACCCAGCCAACTTCAAGGGCACCCATAACACCGCACGGCCTGCCGCTCCCTGGGATCCAGCCTGGGCCGGTGAGGGCAGGGCTGTGGCATTTCTCATTACGGCTTCTGTCAGCGGCCCTCCCTGTCCCTCTGTCTCTCCGTGTCTTCCCTTCTCTGCCCGGTACCCACGCTTTGGCTCTAAACGTCTCAAATTAGATTAATCGGGAGTTGGCAGGAGATGTGGCTGTGATGCCAACCCGTAAACAAATCTCAGCCGTCAGCATCTTGTCAGCCCGCGGCCCCAGAGGAGGACCCTTCCAGACACAAACTCTTATTAGACTTGTCAGATCTATTAAAATTCTCTTCACACTTCTGCGTTCTATCAGCCCCATCATTAGGACGGCCCTGGCCTCTGGGAACACCAGGGCCATATTAATCTGCCGTGTGCCCTGTCCCTGCCCCCTGCCCCCCTACCCCGACCCCCTCCAGGGACAGGAGGGAAAGACAGATGGACGGACAACAGCCAGGGGCAGGAGAGGAAGGTGTGGAGCTGTCCCTGGGAAGGCGCCAGGCCCAGGAAGAGGAGGTGTACTCCACTGTTTAAGAGTTTGGCCACGTGTGTACGCCACGCACACCTGAAGGCGAGGCTCTCCAGGGCGGGGCTACTGTGGGGCTGTGTACACACGGATACGCGCTATGTGATCTCGGGCAAACAACCTCTCGGGATCCCACTGCCTCATCTGCCCCGTGGAATAAGCATGCGCTCCATACAGGGTGGCCATGAGCATGAAATGCCCGGCCCGAAGTAGATGCTCAGTAAGTGGTCATTTCTCCTTCCCTCCTTCACACACACACAAACATTTTCATATGTACACACACATATTAGTGAAAACTCCCATCGAAGTGAATCTGTGTGCGCGTGCCTCTGAGCGTGCATAGGTGGGGGTGAAGTTGTGAACGTCAATCCACACACAGGTGGGTCTAGGTGCGTATCATTAGGTGTCTTACACAAGTCTGGGTTTGGCCAGAGAGAACTGGACTTGAAGTTAGGAGACCCGAGCCCTCCATTCGCCTACGGTGTGACCTGGGGAAAGTTCCTAGCCTCCCTGAGCCTTAGCTTTGTGCCTATAACCTGGGGACAAATGACATCTACCTTGGGTGGGGTGAGGACCATGCATTTCACCCCGTGCCTGGTTGGCTGAAACTCAGGCAGGGGACAGATGTGAGCAGATGACAGGCTGGACCTGGGCCTACACAGCTGGTCTGGGACATGCGACTTTCGCCTGTGGACCGTGGGAGCCCAGTCATGGGTGGATGTGGTTGCCCATGAGCGTGGGGCAGGTGGTCAGTGAGGACACAGGGGTCCCTCCGTGGTCCCAGGATGTCATCGGTGAGGGAGATGCTACCATGGACAAACTTTGAAAAGACTGAGTCTAATCCCCAGGCCCCCATTTCAGATGGCAAAACTCAGGCTCAGAGAAGCCGGGTGCCTTGCCCACTCTGATGGTGCGAGAGGAGCAGCCTTTCCCGCAGGCCCCTCCCAGCCCAACCGGAGCCTCTGTGAGGTGGGGTCTTGTGCTCCGATTCCCTCTGAGTTGGGCTGGAGAATGTGACTCAGGAGGAGCTCCAAGCTACCCCTGGAGGAGCCAGGGATCAGGGGTGGAGCTAGAGGGGCCTGGGAGGACAAGAGAGGGAAGGAGGGGGGAGAGGGAAGGAGGGAGGGGGAGGGAGAAGGAGGAGGAGGGAGAGGAAGATATTGCTCCAGCCAGTTTCTAGGAGCAGAGGGGGAACAAACACTCCTTTCTCGCCTCCTGGGCCCTTTCCCTTTTGATCCCCCCTCCCTTGTCACCCCCCGCCCCCCCCCGTGCTGACTCCGGGGTTAATTTTATTTCCGAGTTGGGCAGGCGCCCCTGGAGTCAGGCACGGCGCTCTGGGTGTGACTAACGCCCGCCCCAGGCCAGGGCTCTAAACTCTTTATCAAGAGCATGTGTCCCACGGCTCCCCGGGCGCAGGGCTGGGGCAGGGGTCGCCCTTGTGCCTCTGGAAACACCCCCATGCACATGTGCTCACCCTGCTCTCAAACATACATGCGCACACGTTATGCACCCGCACACACTTGCTCCCCCTGCACACACACTTGCTCCCCCTGCACACACTCACACAGACACAGTGATACACACAGACAACATCATGGGTACAAGCCCGGATGCACAACTACACACAGGAGCACACAGCACTCCTATGCAGACACTTACACATGCACTCATATGTATTCCCTGCACACTTCATCTACATGTGCCACAAATACTCCCAAAGGCACACACACTTGAGCGTGTGTATACACATGTACATATAGTTACACACTCACACACATCTGCACACATATTTATACATGTCCACACAATAACAGATGCACACTATAGATGTCAAACACACAGGCACATACACAGCCACAGCCACATGAACATACCTGAATGCACACTTAAACACATGTATATGTGTCACAGCCACGTATGTTTACATGACCAAACATTGTGCATGTGTGCGTTTGCATAAAAACACATACCATGTATGCATAGTGTGCTCATTTAAACTCACATGTATGTGAATAGTCATGTGCACATATACCCACATGTGCCACACACATACACATACTCACCTATGTACAAGGATGTGTGCAATAACACTTGTATGCTGGGATACTCACAAATACACACACACACACACACACACACACACCTGAATTGTAACACATCCAAAACATGTATTCACACTCATGCATATATCGGCATGCACATATATCATATCCAAACATGCACATACAGGGGGGACCGTGAACGCAGCTGGGAGGTGGAGGCAGCACAGCTGGCCCTCATTTAGCCGTGGAGGCCAAGGCCATATGAGGAGGCGAGGGCTGGTGTGGGGACAGGAAGCAGAGGTCAGTGAGGCCAGGCCAGGGCTGTGGCGGGGCGGGGGGTGTGAGGACATCCTTAGGCTGGGAGGTCTCACCCTCTCGCCACTTGCCCTTCTGATTAGTTTGACACCAGCAGGTGAGGCCTTTGCCAGGAGGTGGGGCAGGAGGGGCAGCTAGTGACCTCGGCTCCCGGTGCCCCCTTGGCCTGCTCTGCTGCTGCCCTGCCCAGCGGCTGGAGGCTGTGGCTGGGCCCGCCTTCTGCAGCTTTTGGTCTGAGGATCTGCCACCCCCCCCCACCCCCCCAGGCAAGGTGCCAAGGGGATGGCGACTGGGCTGGGCCTGTGAGGCCAGCTCAACATTTGGGGAAACCAAGGCTGAGGATGGGGGTAGAGGAGAGAGCTCAAAGGACAGCTGGCCCTGTGGCCAAGGGGCAGAAGGGGCAGAGCCCCACCATCTCACTGTCCCACCGGCAGTCACCAGCCACGTGCGGCGAGGGAGCCCCTGAAGTGTGGCCAGTGCCACTGAGGAACCAGATTTTACATTTTGATTTGATTTTACCTCATTGAAATTTAAAAACCGAAATTCAATTTAGTTTAGTGGCCGGGAAACTTTGCAGTAGATTTGGAACAACTTGGGTGTGTAAGCCTACAACCTTCTCAGTTGTCAATGCTGTGAAATTTCAATGCGGGTCTAGCGTTCCCCATGAAACTGCGCGTCTGAATGAAAATGGGCTGGATTTCAAAGACAGCATAAAGAAAAGAATGTAAAATAGCTCATTGATAATTTTATACGGATTACATGTTGAAATGATCATCTTTTGGCTAGAATGGGTAAAATAAAATATGTTAGCAAAAATAATTTGCTGTTCTCACATTTTATAACGTGGCTCCTTGGACATTTTAAATGACATTTGTGGCTTGTCTGATACTATTTCTGCGGGACAGCTTTTCTCCCAGGCAGCAGCAGTAGCAGGGGCCCAGCTCACCATCATCTTAGAACAGATGGTTCTTAGAACAGCTGTTCTTCCTTTCTGGACCTCAATTTCCTCATCTGTGAAATGGGCACCTCCCCCACAACACCACCTTCCAGCTCTCTACAAATGAGCAGGGGGCAGGGAGGGGGGGATGCCGGGTGCCGGGCACTCACTCTGGCCGTACTGGCCGTACTGGTAGCCAGCCACGGGGTCCACGCTGTAGCCGGTGGTGCTGTAGGTGGGTGGGCAGTAGGACTGGGAGGTGGGCAGGCTGTCCCCTGGCTTGATGGAGTCCGCCCGCTGGCTGCAGCTGGCCGAGATGGAGGAGGCCGAGTCCAGGCCGCCGTGCAGCGGGGAGATGGAGAAGTCGGCCTGCGGCTGTGGCGGCACCGCGCTGGGGTTGCTCAGAATGCTCATCACCTGTGGGGAGAGACCATTGTGTGGGCTGAGCAGCAGGGGTGGGGCTGGAAGGACCCCGCAGGGGCGTGTGCGGGGACGATGCCAGGCTGGCGTGGGCAGGCCTTTGCTGCAGTCTCTCCCTTGGGGTCCCTGCAGCTTGGAGATCCGTTGACCTGTGGGCTTGCCCTTGAGGGTAAGATGGCTAGCAGTTCTTCCTGGTTAGGTCCTGACCCCTGGAGGCGTCCTCCACCGAGAGCCCGGGGGTGAGGTGGGCCTGTTCACAGCTCTAGCCCCAGGCCTGACTGAATAAGTGAATGCATAGCACATGCATGAATGAATGAACAAGCACGCTAATTATGTCTCTCCTATCAGACAGGGAGCTCCCCTATCAGACAGGGACCTATGCCTCCCCCATCAGACTGGGATGCTCCCATCTTCTAGCACAAAGGGGTTTCAGCAGGACTCTGGGCCTGTCCGGCTTCACCCCTCATCCTGTGCTATGCTCTTGACTTTGGTCAGGACCTGGTGACCTCTTGGGAAGGTACGACACTGTAGCCTGCCCGGAACCTGGAACCTCTCTTCGGTTCCAGCAGCTCCTGGATGTCTGTGCCATCACCCACTTCCTCGAGGAGCCGGTTCAGCAAACAGTTCTCACCATCAGTGCTGCCAACTCAGACTGTCAGGGGCAAGCTCCTTTCTAGAAACTCCGCTTCAAGATGTTGTGTGTTCACTTATTCATCACTTAACTCATTGGTGTGTTCACTTATTCATTCAACAAACACACACTGAAGGTGACTATGACCCCAGAACTGAGGCTGAGCCTGGGACCTCAGAGGAGGAAGAGCCATGGCTCCAGCCCTCAGCTGGGGGAGTGTTTGGGTCTGGGGGAGGGGGCACCTAGCAACAGATCATCAAGATGTGGAGTGATGAGGATTGTTACAGAGGCAGCTCAGGGGCTGTGAGAGCCCAGGGGAGGGCACCCAGCCGGCCAGGGGGCCCAGGAAAGAATCTGGAGGAGGTGACACCTGTGTCCAGCTGTCCAGGAGAGAGCGGGGAGAGGGGGTGCGGGCAGCAGGATTCCTGCAGAGAGCATGGCACCTAGTCAGCCCAGGGGAAAGGGGGGAGGGGCAGACCTTTGTGGGTCTGACCTGAGGGCCAGGACCCTGGTGGCCTCCTGCTAATGCCACCCCTTATGGGAGGGAGGCCAAGTGCCAGTGGGGTCAGGCTTGTTGATGGTCTGCCCAACACCGAGCTAAAGGATCCCGCTGCCATCCACACGGGGCAGGTGGCTGTGTTCTCTGACTTCCCCTCCCACCTCCTGGGAGATGGTGGGCTCTGGGCATCTGAGCCATGACCTATGGCATCCTGACAATGTCTGCCTTCTCACTTTTGACTTGTCCCTGCCATAGGCACTGGGGCCTGGCCAGGGTCTGCACCCTCAGGCCAGGGCCAGGCACGGAGCTCCTCCACTTCCTGGCTGTGCGGCCTCAGGGTGTCCCTTACCTTCTGTGACCAGCCCATCCGGAGGAAAAGAGCCGACAATGAACCTGACTCAGAGGGCGCTGGAGGCTGAGCAGAGCCCAGCACGGGGAGCTTTGCGCCCAGCCTGGCGCGTTGCAGCGCTGAGGCATCAGCGGCCCCAGCTCCTCGGACCCTCTTCTTCCCACCTCCTTCACTGTCCCTCCTCTCAGACACCAACTTATGTGACTCTCCTGATCCAGAGGCCTACAGAGACGTGTGGGGCAGAGCTATGGCGCCCATTTCTCAGATGACAAAACCGAGGCCCACGAAGGGCTGGGGCTTCCCCAGATCTCACAGCCAGTCCAGCCGGCCGGACCCTGCCTGCTCACCTGATAATGCCGGGACAGACTCTCAAGGATGTTTCCGGCACCTGACCCCTCCAGAGGCTCTTACTCTGGGGACCAACCAGCAGCTACTGGCGGGGGTGGGGGTCCCTCATCCCTGACTCTTCCCTCAGTGCTCCCAACACACCTCCCTCAGCCCTGGGGCAACTCTCCTCTGTCCTTTACCTCCCCCCACCCCTTCCCAGAGCCAGAGGCCAGGGCATGGGCCTGCTGGGCTGGTCTGTCTCCACTGCAGCTGGTGGGATTTAGGTGGGTCTTCATGGTGTGTCACCCACTGAGATGGCAAAGACACAGGGCACAGGACTGTGAGAGGGGAAGTCTGGGCGGGAGGTGTCGGGGCGACTTTGTGCAGCAGCACTGTTTTAGGGAGCGGAGGTCTCCCCGATTCTCTCTGCACTGAATGCGCTTCTAAGGCCTCTGTCATGGGGGGGGGGCACGCACAGGGTGCTGGGGTGGTGGCTAGAGGGACTCTAGAAAAGGGGGTCCCCATAGTGAGGGTGTGAGGATGTCTGACCCTATCGGGTTGTGCTTGCTGCCTTCTGACTGGAGATGGGGCCTCCTGGACCTGAGATATTTGCTGTGTGAATGGAGGGGCAGGGGTTCTCTGGGAAAACTCAGGAATCTCATGATGCCCTGGGAGTTAGGAGACCCCATTCTCTTCCAAGTTCCTGCCTAGACCTCACTTTCCAACTAAATTAAGAAAATCACCCCCATCCTATTCCCCACCCCATGCAAACACTACCCCTGCCCCTTCCTCCAAGGAGGCCTGGGCCCCAGGACAGACTCAGGCTCAGGGGAAGCACACACCCACTTCCCTGGGGGGCGGGAGCCTCTCGGGAGGGTGTGTCAGCTCAGGTGAGCGAATCCCTTCCTCCTGGATGTCACTACGAGGCAGGAAGAGACATGGGAGGGGGGAGAGTAGAGAGAGGATGGGGGTGGTCTGGGGACGAGATGGGAACTGTACACAGAGCCACTCACACTGCAGGACGGGACCTCCGGGGAACCGCCTCAGAGCTGACCACATCGCTCATGTCACTCACGCATCACCCGTGGCTTCTCAGTGCCTTCCAGGCAAACAGGGCAAAGGTTTCTTGTGCTCTGACCGCTACCTGCCTGTCCCAACTCCTCCCTGCCTTTTCCTTCCTTGCACTTGAAGTCCCAGCCACACCAAGCTGTGGTGTTTGCTAAGGACATCTTTTAGTCATTCCACGAGCATTGCACAGAGGGCTGCCCCTGCCAGGCCGGAGAGAGGACTGCACTGTGACTCCTTGAGGCCAGGATGAAGCTGCATTTCGTCCATCTTTGCGGACCCAGTGCCTACATTGTGTCCGTTACATGCTATGAGCTCAGAAGAAGCCTGTGGAATTCATGCATAGTCACATACCGCATATTTAGTGAGCACCTACTATGCGCCAGGCCCTGAGATGCAGCAGTGAGCTTGAGCAACTCCATGCTCTCCTAGAGTTGCCAGTTTAATGAAGAAGCTGACAACAAACAAGTAAGTCACAGAATTTGCAATACTGGTAAGTGCTATGGAGGAAAATAAGGAAGGGGGTATGTGGAGCAGTCAGGCAAGACCACCCCCAAAAAGGTGATATCAAGGCCAAAAAAGAACCGGCATGAGAAGATGTAGCAGACAGCTTTCCAGGCAGCGGCACCAGCAAGTGCAAAGGCCCTGAGGTGGGCACATGCCCAGCAAGTTAAAAGAATAATAAGAAGATCAGTGTTGTGAGAGGAAACCCTGAGCCCCTGAGCGCTGCAAGGCCTCCCAGGATCCTTCGTCAGAGGGACTAGTGTGGTGCCCAGTGGCTCAGGAGGCCTCGGACCCTGGGCCAGTAACAGACAGCTCGGAATCAGCTCTAGCCCAGGGAGCTCTTACTGTAATGAGATTTGTTCAATGGGATTTGCCCTGGAACATCAAATCAAATTCACATCTGGGGTAGGTGTGAATGGGGGAGGGGTGGCATCTGCCTGTTCTCTCCCAGAGTCCCTGGGGGCCTGTAGATCAAAGGGCTTCCCTCCCATCCAGCCCCCTCTTGGGGCATGGCAGCTTCCAAGCAGACAGGACAGGACCCAGCTGAAGAGGGGGGACTTGGGAGCAGTGACTCCTCATGGAAATAGACTATCGTTGCCCTCATTCTGCAGTTGGGGAGGGAGAAAGGCGCATCCATGATAACACAACCAGTAAGTGGCAGAGCCGGGATTTGAACCGGGGTCTCCCTGACCTCTAGGCTGTGCCTTCCCCACAGCAGGCAGTGCTGGAGAGAATGGAGAGAGCCCCCTCGGCAGCCCCACAGCCCAGGGCCTTCCCGGAGTCCCTCTTTGCCCGCAGAAGCAGAACGTGTTTGCCCACCGTTAGGGGCCTAGCCGAGGTCTGGAGCCTGCAAACTTTTGAACTTGAGGAAGTCCGGGTCTGATGCGGTAATCTACCACCCCCTCAAGAATTCGCAGGCCTCTCCCTGGTGGGTTTTACTTTGTCCCGGTGACCTTGCTTTCACTAATGTATTACTTCTTGGTACGTTACCGTTACTAACTCAAAATCAATACCGACCTCCACATCTGTAAGGTTTTATCTGAAGGCAAATCTCCCGGCTGTCCGTCAGGCTGAGTGACAGCCATCCCTTCCTCTCCCCCCCCACCAGCCAGAGCCCCCCACCCGCCCCCAGCCCCTTCCTCTCCCTCTGCTCTAAATCAGTCCCAGCCTCCACCAGACTAAATCAATAAGGGGCCGGCCTCACCCCCCTTCCGCCGCTGGCTTGCAGGTTTTGGGGGGTGGGAGCCGAGGGAGCCCCGTGCCAACCCCCCTTCCACATCCTCTGCTCACCGCCCCCGCCCCCGGGACTTGCCGGCGCTCCCCTACTTTAAAAGAAGGGGATGGGAAAAATGTAATTAATTCCCTCCGTTCCTGAGCTGGCCCGGAGGGCCTGGGACCGAGGAGGCTGAGCTGTGAGATCTGCACCCTCTGTGATAACCGAACGTGGCTTTGGGAGCGAGGCTGCAATTAGAAGGGGTGATCGCCATCATCGGGGCTCCGTGGCCGGTTCGGGTGGATGAGTGGGGGCCTCAGCAGGAAGCAGAGGGGAGAGGGAGGGGCAGGGCTGAGATCAATGAGGTCAGGACATTGGACCTGGAGATGAGATGGACTGGAATGAGGAC